AGGCACAGTAAGACGGTGGGGCTGTCTTTGTTACTAGACACGACCATGATAGTCCGATCTTTATGTGAATGCAATGATTGTGTGTGTGTAATTAAAATGAACTTCGAACTTGAAGCACAGTATCTTTACACGCCCTGGGAGCAGTAATGGATTTAGCTCTTTGTATGTGTTATGCTTGTGACGCGCCCTCATTGTATTAACCGTTGCCTAATTATAATGTCTTTTTTTTTATTCCAACATGTAATCACCAGACGTGGTGACGACACACTCAAGTTTTTTCAACTTATATTAATGCCGCCACCAACACAGGGGACAAATACATGACAGGACAATACTCATTTACACCTGAGCGAAGTGAGGAAAGTCGTGTAAAGTGCCTTTCCCAAGGGCACAAGATCGGTGGCATGTCAGGACTCGAACCCGGGACTCTAAGTTCCGAGTCGCGCACTCTGCCGCTACGCCAGACGACCCCACAATGAATATTGACAGTGAAATTATAATGTCTGCACAGTAGGTCTGGCGTTGACGCTTGGGATTTTATTGAAATATATAAAACTTCACGGAGGATTGTCACCTATGGCTTCTTGTTTATTTATTTAGATGTAACGTTACCACATTAAACAGGTTTATGCAAGGGCTTCTACGTCCTTGGTTTATGCAAAGCAATATATATGTAAACTTCTCAGAAGGCCACAGGACTATTTGTTGTCGTTTTATTTTTACCAGACTTATTGTCCAGTTAGTAGGACACAAACATGCTCCCAGGGTGAAAGAAAATGTTCTGTCGATACAAATGCACCGAGTGTGATAATTTTATCTGAGCCAAAAATTTTACCTTTCATACATGTAACCATGGAGGTAGACCTCCATGATGTAACATTACGTGCTTGGCAGTGGGATAAGAAATACTAGTAGATGGCATTGTAGGTATTTACATTACAATGTTCTACAACAGTGCATCTTAATCACTGTTTGTTCTGTGCCTTTTATTTTTGTCCACCAGAATGATTGCAGCATTGCATATAACTAACAAGTTACATGTACTAGTAAATTAGTAGTTAAACTTCAGACCTCCCTCCAACATTGTTGGGGTAAAAAAAATGTAATGAGAGCTGTATTTTTATTTTCATTTGTCAGAATAGCCCCATTTTCCACACGCAACTGAAATAACATATGAATTATGATGCCTATTGTATGGCAGTGTAATGGCACCTATTGTTTGTGCCAAAATAGCCATTACATATTTTTATTACCTATGAGCATATTGAGCTACCACAGAAAGCTTAGAAGTAATGATGCATACCGGTTCATTGGACTTGGATCCGGACTTAAAAAATGTTTAGGTTCAAGTCCAAAAAAACCTAAAAGTCAAGAACCGAGTCCGGACTTATTACCATAAAAGACCATTTCACATACCCCTTTTCTTTCTAAACCACCTAAAACCTTCTGTAGATTGTAAAATCTTTGCTGCAAAATGAAGAAAACATTGCCATCGGGCATCGTCAAGTACCGGCCTCCATGTTATGTGGCCAAAGTTTCACCCAGACAACATTGCAAGGTTGCCAACATGCAATTTTGTATATGCCATGGGTTTAGGTCCGGACTTACAAGTCCGGACCTGAACCTAAACCTCTGGACTTGAATCCGGACTTGAACCTGAAATTGGGTTTAGGTATGCATCACTACTTAGAAGGTACCGCAATAGACTTTTTGCAATGCAGTAAGCACAAGAAGTGGGGTAGAATCTTGTATGCTGACCAGCTGATGCTGACTCTACTATTCTTGGTCCGAAACAAACATAATCTGCTGCACCAACTTAGGGTAGTGTTTTCCTCATTTTTATTATTCAAAGCTCACAACAGAACACTGAGAGGATAAATACAATGTTCGGCCACAACACTTCCTGCTAGTGTGTGTCTATGGCAGAACTATTCTATGACAGTTGTGTGATAGGTAATATAAATTACTCAGTCTCAGTATTCAGACTATTTCTTTTGATGTGAACATAGCTTACTACTAATACTAGTATCATTTTTTTCCCATGCCTTTCAAGATCCCATAATGGCAACGATGCTGAAACATCTCCAAACAATGGAGGCCTCCGGGTCCCAATCCAAGGAAGTTTGCAAGTTTAGCATGATGATCGACAGTTTACTTGAGAGTGAGTACAAATTTACATACATCAGTGTCTATTATCTAAGTATGACTATTAAAGAGCAAATTTATAAGAGATGCAGTATGTGAAGAAAATAATGCATAAAACACTTTTTCAGTACGCATGTTATTGTAGTTAATTGGCATTTCGTAATCTACCTGAATCATGAGCAGTAAACATTGATATGTAATTTGAACATTTTTTGTACCTCCACACTGCTAATATTACCCTTGCTTTTTTTAAATATGACTCAAGAATTTGTTTCAACCAACAGCAAACATAAAGCTGAAGACAAAGAACAAGGAGCTCCAAGAAAGGAATAAGGAGCTTCTGGGAAGGAATGAAAAGCTTCAGGCAGAGAATGAGCAGCTCAAGAAGAACCCCGGGAAATGTAGAACAACTGGAAGTTCTCCAGTAGAAGAAGAGGTACAGCAAAATAGAAATATTGCAAGAAGAAAACATTTCAAGCTTCTAATCGCTGTCATTGTTAATTGTTTGTACATTTCAAAAGTAAGCCACAATTGTAAACAGGTAGTAATTTCAGAAATATGTTTACAGGAACGGGATAAGTCAGAAGCTGAAGGATCCGAAAGGAAAGGAATAGAGTCTGCTGTAGTACCATGCACCTCGTCTGCTGTAGAGGAGCCCGACACACAGCCAGCTGAGTTGTGTGAAACTGATGCACAGTTGCAGGAAGGTAAAACATCCTAAAGCAGTTCAGCTGTGTTGGCTGCAGTATTCATCTACAACTACAAAGTGCCTTTTAGATGCCTTTTATTTGTGGAGGAAGCACTCATCAGTTTGCTTTTTGTTAAATATGTTTCATTTGTGTTAAAAAAAATGTCAGATTACTTTTGTTTGTAGAGGCCAGGCATTTAAAGTCTTGACATTTTGTGAATCCTGTTTGTGTTATCAAAAGTGTTGCTCACTCTGGAAAATATGTAGAAAAGTTGTAAGGTTAGAAGACTCATTATAAGAACATTAAATTTGTTATGCTGAAGTCTTATTCTCATGTTTTGGTAGTTTGTACAATACAGTTGAAACTTCTCTGATTTGCAGATCTGCCTCATGAAGACATGACGCAGCATGATGGAGCCATACAGGCTGTTCCAGGTTCTCCTCCAGGCGACCCCCAGCAAGCTCAGGTATGTGAAGATGATGCCACCTCCGGTGAAGTGCAGGAAGGGGATAAGGTGGATAAACAGCCTACAACGGATAGCTGCAGCGAAGACCATGACTATAACATAGAAGGACAGTCATCAGAAACTCCGCACAATTCTCGGACGATGCCAAACAATGAAAATAATGATACAAACTGTCAAGGTAACTCAAGTTTGACCAAAGACAGGTCAACATGTGATTCCATTGAACCAGGAACAACAGAAAGGTCTGCTTTTCAGGTTGTATACGACATGATGAGAGAGTTGAGTATGCAGGCTGTGAGTGGAATGTCACAAGGCACAGGTGGGCTCAGTGACAGCAAGAACCTAAGTGTGGACGATAGTGGGGGAACAGGAGACTCTGCCAAACCGGTGAGAGACAATGTGGTTATTGTTACCAACACAACAGGAAGCATGTCAGCCATGGAGGACAGTCGTGGCAGAAGTAATGAGGTGGAGAATGACACAAATGGTCGCAGAAGGTCTACATCAAGAAGTAGCAGTACAGACAGGAACACTGCATCCCCTGCCCTGCTGCAGGAAGTAACCCCAGTACAGGAAGAGTATGCAGATGCTATTAGAGAGTTGTCTCCGATTTCAAACCACCAACCAATAGTCAAGCTACCACAAAGTGGCTGCCATTCCACCCCTGAACTGTCAGATGACACTGTGCTTTACAGTCCAGAAACAGTTGTAGATCTCACAGAGGAGAATAAACCTGAGCATCCTCCCAAGCCACGGAGATTAAACAGGAGGAGGAGGAAAACTAGGAGAAGGGGTAGGAAACCTGCAATGAAAGAAATGAGTATTACCAACGGCAGCATGTCTTCAAAGGAGGTGATACAATATTTGCAAACGTATCGTGCAGAAGAAAACAGAGATTGCTCTGGGGAGAGTCCAACGGAGAGAGGAGGTGGCAGTCCTCTTGGTATCATTGATACAGAAAGTGCATTGAGAGCTGTGATGGTCATTTCAGACTCATGTATCTCAGGAGGGACTACCGACAGTCAGGCAGAGAACAAAGGAACAGGTCCTGTGGAAGAGTTGGTTCAAAACGCAGCAACATCTGTGGTGATTAACAGCCAGGAGGATATGCAACATTCTGAGCAAGAAGATGTGGAAACAAGTGCTGTCTGCCAAGCTTCTGATGCTACACACATGGAAATACCTGTATTACCTGTAACGCCACAAAAGCGGCGTGGCCGAGGCCGTGGCCGTGGCCGAGGCCGTGGCAGGCCTCCAGGACAGAGGACACCGAAAGGTAGAGGTCTAGGAATCTGGACAGCCTTTGGTGATACATGTAGACTCAATCATGTGCCAGAGGTTTATGATACAGACATAGTAACAACACATCCTGTGGAAGATTTTGTTCACACAGCAACAACATCTGAGGCAATTTACAGCCAGAAGAAAAGGCAGCATTCTGAGCAAGTAGATGTAACAACAAATGTCTGCCAAGCTTCTGATGATACATGTACATATATTGAAACATCACCTATAAGTATAATGCCACAAGAGTGCCGTGGGGATGGCAGGCCCCCAGGAAAGGGGACACCAAAAGGCAGAAGTCATGTTGTCTTGACAGACTTAAGTGATTCAGGCCAACTTGAAGAAGAGGAAGATTGTAAAGTAATCTCTTATGATACAGGCTCAGAAGCATCACCTGTAACAGTAACACCACAGAAGAGCAGAGGCCGTGGCAGGTCTCCAGGAAAGAGGGCTAAAGGCAGAAGTCCACACGGAGAGAACAAAGAATCCAGTTTCCTACCACCAAAGATAATCTCTGATGATACAGACATTGAAACAGAGCCTGTAAGTACAGCACCACAAAAGCGCCGTGGCCGTGGCAGGCCTCCAGGAAGAGGACACCGAAAGATGGAGGTCCAGGAGTCTGTACAAACTTCAGTGATACATGTGGACATAAACAGGAGCCAGAGGTTTATGATACAGACAAAGAAGTGTCAGTGTCAGCTGTAATGCCACAGAAGCACCGCCGTGGCAGGCCTCCAGGAAAGAGAACATTACCTAAAGACATCATTACATTCCATGACAGTAGTCCATATGAAGAGAGCAACGTTCCCAGCATACTGGTATCATACAGGAGATTGAGGCCTAGGAGCAAAGAGAAAAACCAATCAAGCATATCCGGCAGATTGAGGTCTGGGAGCAGAGAAAGGCTCAGAGAAAGCAGGATCTTGCTCTATAACAGTGAAGATGATGAACAGGAAGTCATTAAAGACAGTGCCTTAGGTGAGGACAGTCAGAACAGCGTAACCTGGATGTCTCAGGAAATGTCTACTGTCATTTATTCGGCTACCTCACAGCAGGATGAAACGTCAGCGACATGGGAATGTCACGTTGAGGATAGCAAGGAACAGCAGTGGCAACTAACTAAAGCCAGACCAGGAAACACAGAAGGTGTTTCCCATGGACATAGCCACAGCAGTGCCACCCAAGAAGTGGTAGTAGGTAATGTTACTGGAGGGACTCTCCAATCAGTTGACAGTGGGACTGAACCCATGGACAGTGCACTTGAACAAGGGGAGTTGAGAACAAAGGCACAGGTACCTTCAGATAGCACAAGGGAAACATCATCTCTTGGCATCATTGATACGGAAAGTGCGTTGAGAGCTGTGAAAAGTGTGATGGTCATTTCAGACTCATGGGAGGCTACTGACAGTCAGACAGAGAACAAAAGAACAGATCCTGTGGAAGAGTTGGTTCAAAAAGCAGCAACATCTGAGGTGGTTGACAGTCAGGAAGAAAGGCAACATTCTGAGCAAGAAGATGTGAGAACAAATGCTGTTTGCCAAACTTCTCATGATACACACATGGAAGTAACACCTACACCACCACGAAAGCGCCGTGGCAGGCCTCCTGGAAAAAGGAAATCACCTAAAGACGTTTCATTCCGTGACAGAAGTCCACATGAAGGTAATGTTACTGTAGGGACTGTCCAGTCAGTTAACAGTGGGACTGAACCCATCAACAGTGGACATGAACAAGAAGACTTCAGAACAAAGGTACCTTCAGATAGCACATCACCCAAGCCAAATAATGACCAGGTTTTGCATGAAGGACCAGAAGAATTGTCGTTACTTGTCAAAGACTCCTCCAACACGACCTCAAACATAACCACAAGGGATCAGGAGGTCTTGAAGAAGTTTCCTGGCATGTTGGAAAAATCTCCAGTCGTTATGATCAAACGATTGGAAATGACGTCAACAACAGCATACGTATGTGAGACAGAACAGTCAGGTCATAAAGAGAGCCATAGCAATGTGCAGGACCTGCTGGACTCTGAAGTGAAAACCACAAGTCCTTCTATGCAAGAATCAGCACAGGTACCTCCACTTAGCTGCCCTACACCTGACAGTTCTGATGAGTCAGAACCTGTTTGGGAAGAGAAGTTGTGTCATAGGGCAAAGACAAGGAAAGTGGGTAGTAAAAACAGAAATGACTTTCCAAGTTGTGATGGCATGACGAGAGCTTGGACTAAAGCAGAGGTGATAAAACAAGTACGTGAACATAGCCTGAGGGAAAGGAGTCCCCTGCACGATGGAGATAAAGAGGTGCATCAGCAAACAAAGTGTCACATTGATTTGGAAAGTGCGCTCACGGCTGTGACAATTATTCAGAAGCCTCCACTGCCACCAGGAGAAGATGCTGAAACAGAAAAGGAGGGTGAAAATCAGAAGAATTTGGGGATGGTCCCAGGGAGTCTCAAGATCCGTGTTCGCCTCTGTAAAAATAAAGTTGATGGAAAAATTAGGGCAAAGTGCATAGACAAAGTGGAGAGTGAAACAGGCAAAGTGCACGAAAGTAGCGAAATAGATTCTGACTCTGAGGATGACGCAAGCAATCTCATTCCTGTTGGTGAAGTTCAACAAGCTGATAAGAATGCCAGTTCATCAAAAGCGTCTTCTAGTTCTCTTCATGCTCAGAAACGAAGACTGGATTGTACAGAAGAAATATCTAAAGACAGAGACACAGCACCTAATGCAACAAGAATGAGAAAAGGAAGTGAGGAAAGTTTAGAACACAGTGAAGATGTCATCAATGCATCAGATTTAAGACGAGCAAAAACATTAATTTCTGGGAAGTCAAAGACACTAGAACATAAAGGGATATTGAAATCGAGAGACAGCACAACAGCAGAGCAAGCCTGTAGTAAAGCAGCCACAGCAAATGAGCAATCCTCAACCAGAAGAAGAGTACCTACAGATACAGGTGCCGTGGCAGAACATTCAACAGGGAGCAGCTTCAAAAACCAAACTGTACATTCCAAGGCAGGAGGAACTAAAGAGACAGATGTTCCATGCACAAACAGAAAAGTTAAAAAGTTGAAAGTTCACTTCGAAAGCATTCCACAGACAACAGAAGATACAAGTAAACCATGTCAGAAGCCAAGTACGACAGGGACAAATATGAAAGGACCTGATTCATCTAAAGAAGAGAATGGAAAAACCTTGGGCCATGCACCACAACACCCTACCATTGAGAATAGAAAGAATAAAGATTTTGGAGCTGCACTGATGCAGGCAGACTGTGCTGTCCTTGAACCTACAAGACAAGTGGGGAAGTATGCACGTTCACAACCAATGAAAAAGAAAGGGGCCAAAGAAATACATACCTCACCAGGAAAAGTTGTGGGGAAATGTACACAGGTGGTTAGGACAGGGAAAGGCCAAGATGGAAGGAAGACTACAAATTTACAAAAGCAGTCCAAGAAACCAGGTAACTCCACCCACGACCAGATGCAGGGAACAGATGTGGTCTCTTTGACGGGCATAGACTCTGAAAGTGGAAGGAACTCGGGTCCTGCATTGAGTGGTGGCTGTGACGCAAGTAGGACTGCTGAGAAACAATGGTGGAGTCCATCAAGCCAGCAGAGAAGCCCAACAGGTATGTAACTATCTTTTCTAAAACTATCATAATTCATGGTTGTTTACGTGAATCTGATTATACTTTTATGCATTATATGCCAATGATAATGCTGCAATCCTGTATTCTTGAAAAGATTATTTTGATGTACAGAAGTAGGCATAAATGATATTTTTGATGAATGTCTATTCTATTTTTACTGTAAATGTAGCAGACGGAGTATTCTGGAGTCCTGGAGCAGGTGACGTAGGTGCAGATGACCTGGGTGCAGAAGTGGAGGTGCCGTTTAGTCCTGTCAAGGCACAGCGGGGCAAGAACCCCAGTACATCCCAGACACCACAGGATGGGCAGCTCAACACTGCTGACACAGGAGGGCAAAGTGCACAACCTTGTAAGAAAGGGGGTTCTACAAGAAAGAGACCAATCAGGAGGAAACTTAACACTACAGGAAAGAAGGGACAAAATAAGTCACAGACCAAGACCAGTATGAAAGGCAAAAGTAATGTAGCAGTTAAGGGGAAGGATAGTCCTACAAACACCACACCTTTATTATCTAGCAATAGCAGTAAACAACCTTCACTCAAAGAATCTGGTATGCAAGGGGAGCTGCCGAACAACACTCCCCAATTCACTGAAGCTGGGCAAAAGGTGGAGGTGGTGTTCACATCTGTCCAGAGTCCAGCCATGCCAGTGAGTCTTCATGGGGATTCTCCACTCAGTCCCTGGAAGCAGCGGCCACCGGTACTGTTTTCCTCCACTAGCATGCCCAGAATGGCTCCTCTTACCACAGAGAAGACTCCACAACAGTCACATTGTGGCAAACAGAAAACTGGAAAGGACACACAGGCAAAAGAAAAACAGCCGACAAACAAGACTGTCAGGGACAGAAGGGAGAGTCAGACTGACGCCACTACCAGCCAGGACCAGGACATCATTTCAGCAGCCCTCCAGGAAGCTGCTGCTGATCAGGTGCCAGACACTGTCTCTGGTAATAAGGACGCCATGAATGCTCTGAACTGCACCAGCCTACGGAAGACTGGTGACTCGGTCAGACCTCGCGGCAGTCAGCAGTCCAACAACATGTCCTTTCACATGCAGCTCACTCCACAGATGAAGGTGGTGGGCTCCAGTGGTCCCAGTCCTGACAGTGGAAATGGCAGCTCCCCGGCACTGACACAACTGGCAGAACAGTGCTACCCAGACCCACTGCTGACAATGGGGTGTAACAAGGTCATGTTGGAGAACAGCATGCGAGGTCACCACAACGACTTACAGGACTTTGTGGATGACAGCCCAGTTGTGAACATGCATGCTTCACTGCCTGCTGTAAGCCAGGAACCTCAGTTAAACACAACAGTTCCTCCTGCCAGCTTACCATTTCTGACGTTCCGGTCTGAACAGGCTGTTTTCACCAACATGCCGCTGGATACAGCCAGCACCTTGCCCCAGTCTGTTTTCAACAGCATGCCACTCGACACGGTCACTTCTTTGCCTGACATAAGCTTTACCCTTGGAAGTCTGTCCACAGAGAAGACCCTTGGTGGGTATGATGACGTCAGGGGCAAGGAAACAGCCATGCAAGAGCCTTCAGGCAACCTTAAAGGCCAGAAAGAAAGTGTTAAAACACGTAAAAAGCAGCCTTCTTTTGACAATGGACAGGTGGGCATTAGTGACACTGTTAGCAATATCATGCCCTTTGGCAATGACACGTGTACTGCAACAGACAGCTCCATTTGTGACATAGAAGTCCCAGTTGTGTCTGATAAGTCATGCAGAGATACACAGCAGAAGAAAACACCACCTCTGGGTAAGATAGCCAAGGTAGCACAGCGTGTGCCAACATCTCCAGAATTAACCATCAAGAGACGTCGCACAAAGAGAAAGTTGCTAGATTCTCCACCTAAACAAAAGCCAACAGCCCCGGAGAAGTTTTCGCCAACCCCTGTACTGATAGATGGAAAGGAGAAGATACCTATAAGTAGGCTGCCATCAGGAAGAAACACATACAGTTACAAGGCTGTACTTGCAGGCCAGCCTGTACAGGGGACCACTGGCACAACAGGGAACATTGGCAACTTATTGGTTTTGGCCAATGCATCAGATCTGGTAGAAAGGCTGTGCAGTCCTGTCAAAGTGGATGTGAACAGGAACAACTGCCAGCCAATGTTGCACGAGAAGCAGGTAACTGAAGTCAACAAGTCTATCTGTGAGTTATCAGCAGAGAAACGTCTTTCTGAGGGCAGTGGCAACCCCCAAGCTCAGGTATTGATGGCAGCAAACACTGCAACCCCAGGTGATGAGAGAGAAAAGACTAAGGACATATTAGAGGAGGCCATGTTGCAGATAACTGGGGACTTTTCCTTTCCATCTCCACGTGAGACAGAAGCAAATGCTAGTAGTAAAGAGGATGGCATACTGAAAGATAAAGCTGGTCTCCGGATTGAGCCTGATCCATTCAATCTCACTGTTGAAGAGTTGGTTACGCTTCCAAAGCCTACCCACAATGTACGCAAAACAGCAACTGTTACCCAGCCAGCTGCTGCTGCTGCGACTAGTGCAAGTTCTACATCCTCAACTCTAGCAGGTAGTAACAAACCTGCAGACAAAAATCCACTCTTGAATGTGGCAGCAAGCACCAAGCCTGTAGTAGATAGCATGCCTGCAGACAACTCTTCCCCTCTGCTTATAACATCAAACAGCAGTGAAATGGACAATCCACTCTCAATGGTAGCAACAGACACCAGCTGTCCACTGTCCTCAGTAACAGCTTGCACCAGCCCACTAAGGTCTGAGACAGGAGAGGATGACTTTGTAGGTCGTTGCCCCCCCGGGCCACCTATACGGACCAGCTCCAGACCTGTAGACAGCTCAGCCTCCTTACCTGTATCAGCTGCCAACAGCATGTCTGTGACAGCCACTGATCCCGTCCTTACTAACTCCACAAACTTGCCCAAAATGGCTCCTGTTGCCTTAGAAGAGACCCCACAATTGCAACAGGACAAAGAGAAGACTGGAAAAGACACACAGGTAAAAGAAAAACAACTGACAAACAACACTGTCAGGGACAGAAGGGAGAGTCAGGCTGACCCCACTACCAGCCAGGAACAGGACATCATTTCAACAGCTATTCAGAAAGCTGCTGCAGGTCAGGTGCCAGACACTGTCTCTGGGACTGGTCAGGATGCCACCGCCACAAATGTCGTCCCCACCAACTCTGCAAAAGATGTGTTTATGGGCCATCACATACCAGTCCCTAGTGAAGAGCTGGTTTGTAAGAATGCCTTTGAATCCTCGGAGGCAGGAGCCACCAACGTGCCAGTGCAAGAAAATTGTGCCAAGGTGAAGAATGGAGCCGACAATGATAGGAACTCTGCCGAGAAGAGAAATGAGCCAGAAAGATCCTCCAGTCCCAAAGCTGGAATGATCAGTGCTGATGCTATAGTGACCTCTAACCTTTCTGTAGAAAATTGTGATGCGCTATCGCACACAACATCCCTCGATTATAGTCCAGATTCAGATGACAACTGGCAGGACATGGAGAGCAGCGAAGGTGATGTTCAAGACAACAAACAGGGTAATAGAAACAGCAACCCTATACAGAAGGACATGGCAAGTAGTGTTGCAAAGCCAGCAGTTGATGGTGGGAAGAAGGACGCAAAGCAGGATAAAGTTGAACAGGTGAAGAGAAGCACAAACCAGAGCAGTTCTGATATTTGTCAAGAACCACCGTCAAAGGTCAGAAGGACGTTGTCCATTGGAAAGGCCGGTGCATCAGCAGGGCTAGCAGATGTAGCAAAGTCGTCTGTCACTGATCCACTTGTCGGCCCCCACAGAGAAATAGACTACAGTACCATACGTCAGAAGTCCCCCGTGCTGTCTGATAGCCCTGTAGTTTCCAGTAGTTCTAACAGCCACAGTTCGACACAGCTGGGCAGTGTAGCAGAGAAGCCCTCCGTGTGCAACAGTGGTGCGAAACAGAAGATGTCTCCTGGGTCCTTGGCAAGCATGGTCCAGAAAGGCAGCATGAAGTTGAAGAAACTACGACCTCCGTCTTTCCAGTTGGCAAGGACGACCGTTAGAAGTACTGAAGAGGATACGAGGAACAAGACTCAGGCAGACAGACCAGCACAACTCCAGCCCAGCACACAACAGGGGAATGGTACTGTCCAAACGAGGGACAGGGTCTCTTCCAGTGGTTCTCATCCTACTTTTCCATGGGTAAGTCATTTGTTTTTACCATCACAGTGCTATGGCAGGCTGTATACCAGTATGGGTAATGGTATGATGCTGCACAAACCTTCTAGGTCCAGAATACCAGATGTCAATGTACTATCAACTTACCTGAATAAAATTCATGTGCGTGCGGATGTCATCCATATAATCAAATCAACATGGCCTAAGGTTCATTTGTGATTATGGTGAGATCTTTGCAGTCTTTATTGCAACCTGCCTACCTGTCTTATGTACCACAGGTTAAGGAGACAGACCAAGAGAGATTGTCCAAACTGGAACTGCAAGTACAAACATTTGTCAAGGACAGCTCTCAACAACAGTAAGTCAACATATTTCTGAAGCTGTTATTGACTTTGCACCTTCATGATTCACTAGGACTTTCCAGTTGTCTTTCATGTGATAGCTCCAAAGCCACCTTAAAGTACACATGTGCTGACTTTGCCATTAAAGAAACCCACTGTACAACCTTATGTTAATGCCATTTCCATTATGATTCTGTGTACAGGATGAAGGTGCGACTAACTACAAATGATGAGCTGATGAAGGTAAGTACTTTTACCATATCTAGCACACCCAGGCTTGAGATGAATTGAGCGATCTCTTAGCAGATGTTGGATCCATCTCAGTGTTTCACAATTTAAAAAGAAATCAAAGAGTAAAATAGTGTACTTTAAAACAAACACTCTAAAGACGACTGCAAACATCCATGTAAAACACTAACGCCGAGCTGGATCATATTTCTGCTCGTAGTTCACCTTAAAGTGTGCTTTAAGTAAAACAACATTCAACATCTTCCTTTGCAAGCCCTCAGCCACACCAGAGCACATAGGTCATAGATCATTTCACTGATCCCGTCACATGCTAGGAAAAAGGGGGAAACTCTGGGTAGTACAAGTACAGGTGCAACATTGCCATGACATCAGAGACCAGACCAGACAGTTTTTGTGGTATGGATAGGTAATGATAACGATGCTGTTTGCTACATGTTGGGCTACCCAGAGTTCTCTGTTTTTCCCATCAAGCAAAGGGATCTGTGACATGGCCTATGCCCTATAGTGCCAGCTGTCATCTCCCAGCATGCAATGGGATCCATGAAAAGGTCTGTTGATAACAGTCCTCCATTTGCTTTTGATCTGGGCTGGAGCCCATTGGTTCCTGGCCTTCTTCGTTCTGCAGCGGTGTCTTGACTCTGGCTTTTTCTGCAGCTGCCTCCTTTTTTTGATGTCTTTTTTTCAGTCCTCAGATTTTTCATAGCAAATGAAAAATAACACTGATGTAAAGATGCGTAAACATCTCTCTTACCCTGCCTGTGGTGCTGGGTGCTGATTTTCTAGGGTGTACCCTCTTCAGCCTCACTTTCTGACTTGAGCCCAAGTATCGGCTTGTAGGTGAATGGTTCCTGTTCTGGCACTGTACCCTTTGCTGCTGGTTCTTTCTGGCCACCTGATATTGAAAATATGTCTCAGGCATGTGTCAATGAATGATTTTGCCTTGGTCATTTTCCAGATCTTTGACTTTGACTTTGACTCTGACTCATAGAGCAGAGAACTGGCTTGATGTTGGAGGTAAAAATGTATATATTTGTGTGTGTTTAGATTTCTATGGTGTTTGAAGCTTGATGACTGCATCCCTTAAAGTTAATTACTTTTCCTATTCTGGTTATGATGCCTCCATCAGGAGCCCTGACATCTACACTTCTCAGGTCACTCTCACTTTATTTATCTAATCACGTGGTAGGTGTATGCTCATTTCAATCTGTTTTTCAAGTAACTAGGGACCACAACTTAAAACAATGATAACTAACAATGAAATTACATGGGACAATGTTAGACTGGTACTGTGGTAGAGAAAAGACTTGACCTCTTTGACTGGGGTGTTTTCTCTTTTGTGGTGTTTGTGGTGTGAACTGTGTGATAGATTCAAGACAAATCTATAACTTCTTGTAGAAGTACTGTGATGTGTTGGCCTGTTGGGTATCTTGTCTGTGGCCCTGGGTAGAACGTAATGACCTTCTGTCTTCTGCATGAATACCTTGACTGTTCTTTGCAAGCATACTTCATTTCTCTGTTATTTTGATGATTATTTACATGTTTTTTTCATTATCTACAGATGAAACGTATTGCAGCAGGATATGGTGTTGAGGTGGCACTATTGCATGGATGGACCATACTGTTGTACAAAACAAGGTATGTCCATCTTACTATGTTGATATTTTACATTAGCATGCAAGAAATGGCTTGATTTTCTATCTTTGCTGTTCTCTTTTGAGTGAGAAGTTACCTCTTTTTCTTTTTTCCCATTCTTTCATACATATTACCGCTGCTTGTAGAGCTTCATTAGCATGCGTAGTTCAGTGGTTAGTGACTCTGATTCTGGACCAAGAGGTCAGGAGTTCAGTTCTTCAGTACTGGAAGAGGTTGCAGTTGTTAGGGTGAAACATTAAAGCTTGATCAACTGTTGAAAATAGCTAGGGGAATTTTCCCGGTGCAACAAATTAAACATGTATGTACTGTCTTTCGTGTCACAACCAGTGGAGGATAAGCTTTTCTGTGAGCTAAACTGGTTTAGGGTCACATTCACTTTTGTCATCAGTGTTTTCAGGTTTTCACTCTCATCACTGTTTTCTTTTTTTTTTACCACAGAAAGACAAAGATCCCAGGCCAACCTGAAGTGCAAAGGCGGAGATAATCAGACTCACTGAAGGGTCAAATTCTGTTCATACATGTTTGATTAGCAGCTTGATTTGTGAAGACATGACGTGTGTTTTAGGTACAATGTACAGTAGTTTTTAAAGTGCCTGATTCAAGAAAAGTGCCAAAAAAGCAGACTTCTATTTTCTCATTGCACAGGTGATGTAAACAAACATCCCCAAAATTATAATTGTAGTTCTTTTTTGTTTAATACATCATTCCCAACTTTTGTACATTACCTTGAAGTAAGGTATTTTTGTTCTGACAGTATTATTTTGTACTGTGTATAAGAACAAGAGCGGTTACGGTTACATGTATTGTAAAAGTAATCTTGCTGCTTTGACTTCTTCGTAGGCAACAGCTATGATCACAAGGTTTTGTTGTGAAGTATCAGACAGATTTATACAAAGTTAATTATTTTTGGAAGACTTAGTGTGAATTGGAGGCCTGCCATGTACAGCACCCAGAGCTCTTTGACTTGTGTAGTGATAGAGGCAACTAGAGAACTCTAGAGATAGTCATAGACATTTGGAGAGTAGAGCTAGAGTATGTAGTAAACGTTTATTTTTGGAAGATACAAATCAGGTAATTGTTACATCTTCTTCAACACAAAAGCTACATGTGTATTATTGAGACAATTACACCTGAAACAAGACAGATCTTATTGTTTTAAACTCTCGGAGGAAAAGAGAGTGTTACTGGCAACTCCTGCCTACATAAACATTCCTGTTCAAGATCTACATTGAGTTGTTGTTTTCTTACAAGTTTGTGTTGAAACTGTTGGTGACATACTGGTATATTATCTATATTTATATCCTTGCACCAGGGTTACTTTCTGCATCATCATATACTGCATGGAAAGAGTCAGCTTAATTCACCCTTTGCAGCCCCTAAATGTTAATGTTGATCATAATGGAAACATTACAGAAGTCAATAATGTGATTATTTTCAAGTTCTATGCAACAGGTGTTTGTTAACACTGTCTCTAACATTCACATTGAAGATGTTTTTTGTTTTGCTGTTTTGTTCCAGATACTTATTGTATTAAAACCTTTGTTGACTTGTCATGTGCATTGTTGCATCAATACTATTCATTGCAGCCTAATAATCTGAAGAGAGTTGTAGTATTCTCCCACAGAAGAGCTATCCTGTAGCAAATACATTACACCTGGGATCGGGGTAACGTATTTGCGCAGGAAAGCTCTGCCACATGATAATAAGTTGTATGGAATTTATCTTATTTTATAACCACGTATAGAAGCTTACTAACATTTTCTTTCTTCATGTATTGTTCTTTGTACTTTCCAAAGAAAGCAGCCACCCTTATTAACTGTTTCAGATATGCCCAATTTGGGTAAATTAGTTCCAGGTAATGTATGTGTTCAGGTATCTATATACAGTATGTTAAATCAATATTTCATAAATAGTTGTATGCGTCACACCAAATTCTCATAATACTGGCAGTGACTACACAATCATATCAAGTAATTTAGTACAAGAACATAGGAACAACTTAATTGCTGTAAGTAGAGTAGTCCATTGAAATAAGTAACGTTACATTATATTAAATATAAAGGTTTGAAAGTCTAAGAAGAATTTTGATAAAAACTCCCCGCATTTCCAGGCCCACTTCCAGACAAACTTGGGCACAGTTTCACTTTGTACATTTCAGTCTCTCAAATCAATAAAGCCATTCCTGACATTATCAATCACATGCATAGCACTTAGATATGATTATCAGTAACTGTAAGAAATACTGGGACTCAGTTAGTACTTGAAATGTTTACCTGTAACCCTGATTTACTCTGTTCTGAAGGAGTTCTGTTGCACCTAGATGTACTGCACCTTAACCCATCTTAGCTAATTGAATTATATATACACAATCAATATCTCAAAAATAGAGGAATCAGTCCCCATAACGTGGAATGTGACAAATCGTTTTCAATACACAGAATACTAGGCTGAGTTACTTTTTCAGGAGTGACGGTTTACACCTGAACTACAAATGTATGTAATACTATATTATTTCATGCTGGATTTCATGTTTATATTCCACATTACGTATTGTATTGCCAGCAGGACTAGTCTCTTGTAATAGCCGCCGGCATGCACTCGTGACTCGGTTCCCCTTTTTACACCTTTAGTGATTTAGTGTTTCCCACTGCCTTCAGATTCCTCACAGCCATGTTTCTTCAGTGAAGGTGTATATCACTTCTTCCTGAAAAAAACGGTGGCATTAAAAACCTTGTTGTGCTCAACAGCGCCTGTCCTACTGCTACTTTTCACCTGGTTTGTCAGCCTGCATGTATCTCTGGTAGTAGTACTGGGAGGAAGCATCAGCACTCGGAGCGCTCTCCCGGAGGCTTGCGGCGTCGTAACCTGTAGGGTATGGTGCTGGCGCAGGGTAGGGGTAGGGCTGCTGGGGTGATGGTGCAGGGTAGGGGTAGGGCTCTGGTACAGGGTTGTTGTATGATGTATATTGTTGAGGCACTCGCCCATTGTTGTTGTATGATGGGTATGGGTATGGATAAGGGTATGGTTGTGGGCCGGGGTTATTATGAGGGAAGCCCGGTGGACGGCGGTTATGCCCCTGAGTCGGCGAGTAGTAGTAGTGTGACGGACGCACCATCATCACGACCTTGCGGAACGAGTACAGGTAGTCACTGCGCCAGAAGTACCAGTAGATCCCGTTCTCTTCGCCTTCGTACGCGCCCAGGTGGTACAGGCCGTTGGGGTTGCTGAGGCCGCACTTGTTCCTGCCCGGCATGCCGCCCTTGTACCACCACCCTCCCCGGCTCTTCTTCCCGCAGTTGACGTCCTCGTCCCCGTCGTTGTCCCTGTCGAACGTGCTGAAGTTGGCGCCGTCGTGGTAGCTGAAGGAATCCGGCACGTTACTGCCGTAGGTGAAGCGGCCCGCGGTCATGCGGTAGTTCTCCGACTCGTTGGCGACCTTGAACCCGTCGTACTGGGCGATGTGCCAGTGGCCCTCGAAGGTTTCCACCTGGATGCGGAGCAGAGTGCTGCCGAACGACCGGGTCAGGGCGTGGATGTTGTCCAGACCCAGCCAAAACTCGCCCTCCAGGTCGCCGAACCCTTCCTTGTAGTCTTTCCACGGGCGGAAGAACTTGATGCTCCCGTTGATGCGGCGCTGGATGACGGTCCAGCCCCCGCCGTTGGTGTCCATGTCGCAGTAGACTGGGAAGCTGTTGTTGTGGAAGCGGGGGTATATCGTGTAAATGCCGCTGGTGTTGGTGCCGCTGAGCAGGATGTCCGTGCACGATATATGGCCTGCGAATGAAATAGAATATCTCACTTTTTCTTGGAATGTAGCTACAGTGTGTTCTTATCGATCCTCCCTTGGCAGCCCGCTGACACAATACGGTTGTCAGGTACACGCGCTCCATGCAAATTCCTAACTTTAGACTAGTTACATATGAATATTAATTGGTAAGATTTTGAGCTAGAGTACCTAGAGGAGACTAAAGACAGTGACTTAAAAGATGTCGCTTCGCTTGTTGAAAGGACCTGTGTCTGACCGGTGCACTTTGTAGGAAGCCTCGACAGCAATATTGAGAAAATAGTAAGGAGACTGGGATAACGCACCTACATACATAATCCCTGGGCATTTCTTCTGCTGCACGGGGAGGCAGGTCTCCTTGGGGACCACCACGGTCGGGCCGGCGTCCGTGTGCTGCCGCAGACTCATCTTCTCCTGCTCCTCCGCGATCCCCTCCAGTTTCCTCAGCACGTCCATCACCAGGCGCTTGACAGACTTGATCTCCGTCAGGTGCAGGCCGAGCTGTCTCCTCAGCATGTCGAACTCAAGGTAGTTCACCGGGGACGACGACTGCTGCAGAACAAAGCATGACGAAAAGAAAGTCATGAGGCGAAAAGAAAACTGCACTCACAGGAACCACGCATTACAGAAAAATGTAGCCTGGGTGCGAGACTGTTTTTAGGGTCTACATAGGCCAGTTCCTCCACTCGACCAACATGCCCCCAAGAAAATTATACCACAGCCCCCCTCAGTTAGGTACTGATTCACACGCTGGGAAACTCTGGACCTAGCCTGTTATGGGTATGGCATCCAGGCTAACAAAATTTGGGACATTTCTTCCACTGATTCCCAAGTGAAACACAAGGAGTTTAGTAGTCTGAAGTACAGTATGTTAGCTTTAGTACGCTCCCCAACATTTTGCCCAAAATCCACTTGTTTGGCACCTGGGTAGTGGATCTTGAGAGCGGACTATAGATTTAGAGTACATGTATCAGCAATTGAAATCAAAATAGTCACGTGTCACATAATTGTGTTTCATTGACTGTATCCATGTTGACTATCAATAATAGCAAGTCTGGTGGGTTCTTTTGTGTGCAGAGATTTGACACTTGAAGCTGTATTTGACTTCTGAAGCTCTCTCAGACACGGGGCCGCCGTCTTTACGTCACCATCCGAAATGACGACCTACATCTGCTTGGAGATTATCCATCGGCCAAACAATTTTAACAGAAAGACAACCAGCGGGGAGCACCGTAAAGCAGGAAACATGCAACCAACTTGTTTCTTTCGTGTGATTTCCAGGCAGCTGCAAATTGTTACGAACCAGATCTAGACAAAACAGAAAACTTGTGAAATTGTTTCCTGTTACTGTGTTAGAAGAGGAGGTTTTTGGGGTAGAGGACCGGTCAGCTGAATCGATCTTCAAGCAGATGTACGTATGTGTAGTCTGTGATAAAAATTTCCTTTGTTCATGTAATTGGTACTGCAGCTGAGAAGCTGGCCTATGAAGGTCCTGTAGACAGTCTGGCATCCAGGCTAACTCACACCTCACCGTGCCATCCAAAGTGAGGCGAGGACACCAGATAATCAGAGGCAGATGGACGTCACTTGTCAGTACATCTCCCACTGGGGACTCATTAAATCAGAATCAGTTAACTCTTAACAAGGACGGAATCATCAGAACTCACTCAGTCGTAACCGGAGTTAAGATGGCCCACACCTCATCTTAGTCTCAGTGCTTGCTTGTAATTGTGTGGCACTTAGTACGTCTTTTTAGTAGCATTGCAAATTCTTTGCTCTCAGAAATCTACAAGGCGAAGAGGAACAAGTGCACTGCCACATTGAAGACGTACTAAAGCCGCAAAGACGCGCGTGAATCATTTAATTACCTTCGCCAAGAAGGTTATGTTTTCAGAGGCGTTCGTGTATGTGTGTGTGTGTGTGTGTGTGTGTCTGTAAACAGGATAACTTGAGAAGGCTTAAATGGACTGACTTGATATTTGGTAGTTGGGTAGGTCTTGATGAGACCTCAAAATGATTAGATTTTGGGCCCCCTGGCGGCTTGTCATGGTACTGCAGCAGAACTTACGGTTTTGATATCTCATGATACAGACAAGCTAGGGTAACCAAATTTGGATTGTAGATAGCTCTTGTGCTGGGGATAAAACGATATGAGTTTGGGCCCCCTAGTTGCTTGCTCTAGAACTGCAGGGGGGTTTAAAGGACAAATGTTTAAAAGAGGATAACTCAAGAACCGATTGATGGATCATCGTGAATTTTGGTATGTCCGTAGCTTAAGTGATGCTTGACATAATGAGATTACAATTATGCAAATATGAATGTAATTTGCATAATTAATGAGGAAATTCTCTAAATCAGCTGCATTCCATTATTGGAAGTCCAAGCTTGTAACGTATGTTATTAAGAACGAGAGAAGCACAGGCAGATATCGATTATGCAAATGAAGACTTAATTTGCATAATTAATGAGAAAATGTTATAATTGCATGGTGGTAACTGCCTGGAATTTCATACTTGGGGTGTTTGAAAGTTAAGTGAAGGTGAGCATAATTAAACAAAACTTACTCAAATAAGGACCACATTTGCATAATTTATGAGGAAATGCTATGATGGCATTCTTTGTTAAGATAAGACTGTCTTTTGGTGTAGAATATGATCAACAGATATAATTCATGCAATTGAGGATCCTATTTGCATAATCAGGGGGATTAATATATAATTTCTTATTCATAAAGGCTAACTTCATTTGGCGAAGGTATGAGATCGTAGAACTCTAGTTGAGTCTGAGCTGAGCTGAATCCCACATCTTATTGGAGACGGCAGCCTGTGAACTACTAGTAGACTCGTACCTGGATTTTAGCATTTGGCTTTTCAGAAACAGGCCCAGACGTTCCGTGCCATCCTGACTGAGGATAAATGAGGTGTCAGACCTCATGCGTGAAACTGGACGCGTGCCAGTTAATACGACCCGGTATTCCGATACCCCGTAACCACACCACGTCGTTTGGTGACCTTTTGGCTCAGGCCATAACACTGCGGTATAAAAGGTGATGTCAGGGACGATACCCGGTGTGCTGCGTCGATGAAGTTGATTTAAATCCCTGCTCCTCTGGACCCTCTGTGCTAACAATGTCGTCGAGAGGTACTGTGGCAACTGCCAAGTGCTGTATATAGAGTGACAAGCGGTCCGCTGAAAGAGGAGGTTACAGCGTAACAGTCGCAGTGGTCACGGTTCGGTTGATTTACAGCGCGTGAGTTGGACCAGGTGAGGCGTCGGACATAAAAATGACCTGGCCGCTGCGGTCGTGACCTCTGGGCTACCAGGGAAAGGGTATATCTTAAATTTCGCACGTCACTAACCCTCGGGAGTTCTTGTGGAGATATATCATTACTTCAATACCTAATAATTGTGTCAAGTTTCATTTCTCTCGAATTCCCTATGTCAGGCTCCGTGAAGCGGCTGGAAACAGTCTCTCAGAAATTGGCCCAAAAAAGACAGACAACAATCCAAGGCAGTTGGTCCACGAAAGAGTACTGTACTATTTCGCTACTAACTCCCCTGGCATGTTATCTGTCTATGTGGCCAATTTCTCGTAGGTTCTTTCAGACCGTGTCCCGAAGCCTGGTAGAGGCTAACCGTAAATGCCCAATCCTAAAATTATGACCGAAGGCGCGGGATCTCCAGGAAGCCGCGGAATGGGGGCAGCGTGTCGCGGGGTAAGCTGGAACAAGTTTGCACCCGTCTGACATCAGTCATAGGCGACACGCAAGACGTGCAGATATTCAACTATAACGAAAACGACGCTGCAGTACAAGGGAAAGAAAACTCTCACAAGTAAGGTAGACATTCCTGAAAAATAGCTAGCGAGGTGTCATCTACTTTGACATGGTATTGTCAAGTTCAACAAGAGTGAAGATCAAGGCCGTTCCCGTCGGCTGTTGCCCTTCCAATCACCACCACAATTCATTTAAGCTACATGTGACATTGTCCCCTCACCCCATACTTTTGATTACGGGGCCTCGCGCCCTGACCACCGTGGAGGCCGCCACAATGTGACCACATCGTGAAAACATTCACGCCAGGAACCAAAGCATTGCAGCATATGTAATATTGCCTGGTATCCAGACATGTAAGGCTTAGGTAGGCAGGGACGGTTGGTAAACGGGTCCCATAATCAAAAACAGGCATGAAGTAATTGTGTGATTTTATTGGAGGCAAGATAACCGATAGTGAGCTGGTACTGCAACGCCGGTGGTAGTTAGTCTCTTCCAGGCTCCTTGGGCTGCTGAAGGATAGCAGAAATTGGCTGATTAAGCCAAGTAATATGCCAGAGGAGTTACACATTGGCAATCCATGTCCGACCAACCATCATTTGGCCATTGTTTCACCCAAGGAGCCTGGCAGAGACTAGGTGCGAGCTAGTGTCTAACGGTAGGGGTGTTCCCGGTAAGGCATGCATGTGGCTTCATCAATTACCAACAGGCCGAACTGATTTAAGCTGACACAGGCCAGACGAACCTGGGTTAAGTGTCCTCCCGACTTTCACGTTGAACCGATCACGCTCATGGATGCCACATGGTCGACACCAGATATTCCTCCTCTGAGAAATACAACTGGAGATCCTACAATGTCAACTTTTTTTTCAAAAATAACAAAAGTCCACAGCCATCTATCTGTTGATCCACATTTCGAATGCTTTAGTGATAAAGTGGCAGGTTTATGTGGTTTATCTAAATCCTGAGATTCAGCAGTGAATGTAAATTCCAAGACGCCGAATGAGAACTAAACGTTTATCTACAGAAATTCATTACCGGTCCGGTCACTGACCTTCTACGAGGAAGAGCTTTATTCAACATATTTGCCGCATTGGCCTAACTACGTACACGTCACAACGGAGCAAACACGCAATATGTACATTCAAGTTAGGTTGGGTGCAGAATTTTGTATGCAGATTCGCCTTCTTGCTTCTTAGCGAGAATCCAAAGCTAACTTGTCTAGATGTAGCCAATGCATACTTTATTTGTTACAATCACCAGTATTTGAATTAGTCTATTGTTACAATCACTGTTCTTGTTACAACTTGCAAATAAATTTGCTTCGTTGTTGATGGGAACTTAAGAACGAATAGGTTTTGTTCCGGTCCGTTGTACCGCTATCTGCGGAAAAAGCCTGTAGGTTTACCATGAATCCGAGAAGCTGGCCTCTGCTGGAATCAGCCTGGCGTCCAGGCTAGGTGCGGACGGCTTTCTTGCGTTATCAGCACGACCTTACTCACTAGTTTACTGGGTTACGGCCCTCCACCTTGACCTGATGTTTCCCGATTGGGTTATCTGGTCAGGTTAAGGGTACCTGCCATCGCAATGGCTCGCTCGGCCAGGATAGAGTACAAGATGTATGGGCCTGTGACAAGGTGCAGACTGGAGCTAGAGAACATGGGGAGGTTGTTGACATCTTGCCCGAGGGAACTTTGGGTCTCACGTAAGATCTTCTCCCTCCACTAAGCTTGTCTTTCTTCTCTCTAGTGGAATGCGTCTTTAGTGTAGAGAAAGGTGAGGAGATAAAGAACAAGGGCCACCTAGAAAGCTTGCTGAAACGCGTATACGCGTAAAACACTTGGCCACACTCTACAGCTGCTTGGAGATTATCCCTGTGTGTGTAATAAGCATGGGAGCAAATCGCTCCTATTGAACTTTTAATACTGCCGCGTCGTTCTGGGTGTATTTGGTCACTAGGTCTCTAAAGGTGAGGTGTTTTCTAACAACCACAGAGCATAACATATAGAGCATAATGTCCTTGTTATGTCTTTATGTTAGAAAGTGTTAGAAGTGTCTAAGAAAGAATATGCCACCAAAACTCTCGTTACATTTCCAGGACGGCGCACTGTCTATCTCTGATCTTTTCTCTCCTAGTCATGATTGAGTTTCTTCGAAACCTGAGACACGCATTTTCCGGGCTTTGTCTTAAAGGTTCAGATACGCATGACTACCTAGGGAGGAATTTGCACTCAAGGCCGTTTCAGTGTAGGACGTGCCGAATGTCTTGAGTAGCAGTGTGTCAGTTGAAGCTACTGCCGGATCTTGCCTTCCAGACTCCGCATACATTCACGTGCCGGGTCTCCGCCACGCGACCTCCTGGTATGTACGATATCGTTACTTCTGTTGCCAGATAGGCGGTATAGAAACGCAGGAGAAAAGTCTGTGACCAGGCCTTGGACTTTAACTACATACACGTGAAGGGGGGAAATTAGATGGGTTTGGGGCTGGGCATGACACGTCAGAGACACAAACAGGGCCGTTCTCAGTAGTAGGTAAAGTAAACTTTTAGGAAACCTAAAACACCTGTCTGAAAATCCACTTAGTAGAAATGAGACAGTAGACTCTACAATTAGAGCGTCCAGCTTTGACGACCAATTAGTGGCATGTCCAATCATCATAATACATATATAAACGGGGACAAATGGGACCGATTGGCACCGCCGGCTCTGGCTGAGGTGTTTACAAATCGCGCTGTGAAGGTAAAAAAATCAGACGTTGTGACTTTGCACGGCACATGGGGAGTTGGTACAAGTATGTCAACATTACAGAAACTCCAGGATAAGATGGAAGTTGGAATGAACAAGTTTTCAAACTTCGTTATCATCCTTTGAACTATCGTAGAGTTCTCATTATTGAGCCCTAAACAACGCCGGGACCTAGGTGTGGCGAGATGGCCCGCGTGTGCCTGTGAAGCTGGTATGTGGTACATGACCTGGCTGACCAATATTTAGACACAGAGAAATTAATCATCGGACAAAATGTAAAAGTTTCCTCTTAGCCGTCTTCGACGTTTCCGGTCGAAGTTTAAGTAAAAAACGATGTCTTGCCAGATTTCAGGAGATGGAAAGATGTTTATCCTTAGATTCTTGGCACGGAAGCGTCAGAAAGTATAACATTTCTGTAACGAATCTGAACCAGAGTGCCTGGGTTGTACCCCCAACCAGGGAGAGGTCTGCCGAGCCAAATACTGTGGTTATACCAGATGGCTTTTAGATACTTTTAAACGTTGTTTTCAGTCACAGATATTGTGCTTGTTAGGTTGATATAAACCTCATGAATTTGACCCATTGCATAATCCACGCACAAATATTTTTAGCACCTAATTCTTGTTTTTTGTAAACTGAGGATAAACGTCTTGATATGTGTGTCTTGTGACTTGTATACTGTATATTGTTCAATCACAAGGGTTAGCACTTTGTAACAGCCCAGTTGGGGTAGTCTTGGCTGTGTGTCTTCGAATTCGTACATCAAATCAAATCAAGCCGCAGTGATCAAACCAAGGACGACATAATATTGACATTTTTCCACAGACTTTTGGCTCAGCGACAGTTATGCGTAGGAACATTGGCACAGCAGTGGTGCAAACACATTCACGCACTGTTTCCAACTGACAGATTGCGCCAAGGCTTTACTTACCTGCGTAGAACTACCGATGAAGGCAGCCGTGAGAAGACCAAGATCACTCAGGCCACACTGACAATGACGGAGGTACCGCCTGCCCAGCATTTCACACTGCGTGTTGCGCGTTTCCTTCGCGGGTGTCCTCGCCGGCTCCTTCGACGGCTTCTTGGCTCCTCCATCTCCAAAGTAATATAAGAGCAGTAAAAGTATCACCGAAGGACGCATTGTAAAAAGGCGTTCCGGTCAGACCTGGCAGATGTCTGTGCGGACTGGCGGATGGGACGCGCTGGAACTCAGGAACGACAGACGACAGAGCGCCGTTCGTCTGCTGCAGGGGACAGATCATTGATGTCTGTGTGTTCGGGGGTGGATCTGCAATGTATGGGAAATCGATTTTTTTCCCTAGGCGACATACAAATCACAATTAGATACTTGAAGTGTGTGCTTAGTTAGTTTGGTTATTTTTCTGTCCATTTTTAGTGGGGGAAGGGGTGCAGAGAAATTTACACTGAGAGAACACGTGAGGCCTGGAGAGAAGTCGCAGGCACCTATATATGGACCTCCACCCCACCATGAAGCCAGCCCACCACCCCCATTGACTCCACCTGGTTTCGGAGCCAGGACATCTATTGTAAGGTTGTGGGCATGATTGAGGGATGGCCTTTTGTTTTCTTGTGAAACGTGGTTCATGATGTGTGATGTTCCCTTCATGTCTCGTATGTCCCCTTGTCGGATGCTCTCTCTTCTTACTACTCTCCACTCTCCAAGCAGAGGTTGGTTGGGAAGACTGTGACCTTTCTAATATTCCCCATTTTTCCCCATGTGTGACAGAAATAAGAATGGTCAAAATCTTCCCAAACAACCTCTGCTTGGAGAGTATCTTCTTACTGGCTCCTCTATACAGCTTGCTAGACACATCAGTTCACAGGTGCCAGAGTTGTTAGCAGGCTTCAGCCGCCTGGCAAGGTAGCGGCCCATGGGAGCGGAGTAAAGCCCACAAGGCCAGGCTGGCATCCAGGCCACAGTGTTCTCTCCAGAGTTTTTGTCAGTCACTGACAGTGACACTGACACGTGAGGGTCGGCGGAAACGTGGAGCTGATCAGATGTCGTTTGATGATAACCTACTGGGGATGTTGTAGTAGAGGCGAGGCCAGGTTCGTGGTGAGATTATCAGACCAGCAGGGGCGGTGTTACTGGTGTGGTTTTATTTGTATACTTTGCGAAGTTATCTGTTTATTATACACGGCGGCCTACTGATATTCAAAAGAAAATACACAAAAACGGTAGGTATTCATTGACCTCATTTTATTCAGCCTTACATTGCACTATACCTTAGTCCCATTCTTATATGATTTTCACATTTATGATTTTCCTACTTTTTTTCGACTGTTTACCGCTAAGGATACACGCATAAAGATATAACTGTATACTTCAATCCTTTGCAAAGAATGGAAAAGCATTGTACAAACGATGATACAAGAAATGGTATAGGGCACTGCCCGTGGCCTAGTACACCTTTTCATTAATAGAAGACACTTGAAATCATGATTTTGATAAATTTGGTAAAATGGCGTCAGACAAAATTATTTCAAAATATTCATTTTGGAGGTTTGCTTCCGTATTTATGCTGTCCAAATTTGTTGTTTCCCGGATTTCTGATGTTGTTTTGTAGTTGTACATGTCCTTCATGTCATTTGATTGTTTGTTTTCCTTGCTAGCTCTGGTTGTGTCTTGATTTTAGAAGGTAGTGTCTGAGATAAGTAAGTCTTTTATGGCTTTCCACCGGTGGCTTCATAGTAAGAAGGGGGCAGGGCAATACCGATGTGCGACGGTTGGTAGGCGTGGTCCGACGACTGATGACTGGTGGTCCCAGAGGCCGTGGTCGGGTGCCCGCCGCTAGGAGTGGCAAAGAACATAGAGATAATATAAATATTTGACATTAATGCCAGTACATTTCGGTAAAGTTGAAATTAGGTCTAAGTAAGTCTCCTCTAAGCAGATATTTACTGGGAAGATTATGATTACCTCCTTGATTTGTCCCGCTTCGTTTTCTGGTGTGCCGTGCTGCGAGAAAACGGGGCAAATCAGAACCGGTCACAATCTTCCCAACCAACTTCTGCTTGGAGAGATAACAGGCGACGTACAAAAGACGCCCTTCAAGATTCACGCTGGAACTTAGGAGATTAAAGTGGCGTTACCTTGCGGGATATTGTGGGTACTGTAGAGCCGCCATCACGGTGGGAGCGGCATGGCCTACCGGCGCGCCGGTCACCACGGTCTGTCCCGGCGCCTGGGGGGCTGTGGAGGAAGTCACCACCTGTACCGTGTGTCCGCCCTGCTGGTTGAAGGCGTCCCGGGCCTTTTTACAACAGAAGCACGCCAGGAGGAGGAGTACAATAGCCAGGCAGAGAAACGTGGGTCCGATCACCTTGAACGGCGGTAGTTTATCACCAGCACTGAACCCTATACTGGTAAAGACACAGCCCTGTATTAAGAAGACCGTGCCAGCGATCATGGGACACATGGCCATTGCCGCTGGGTTATTGCAATTGTTAGAACGATATCCAACATATTTGAACCCAGGGGAGCTGTAGTGCATGCGTCTGTTCGGACCACTCCGTCCTACGCCGCCGCCGTGAAGACCATGACCGAAGACGCCCCCGTGCGGATGGGTCGTGTGACCGCCGTCGCCGCCATAGCCGCTGCTGAAGCCACCGCCGTCCCCGCAACCACTGAAGCCTCCTCCTCCTCCCCCGTCACAACTACTGAATCCTCCCCCACCGTCACCGCCGCCGAACCCCCCGCCACAGTCACCACCCCCTCCGCCGTCACCCATGGATAGTTGAGTTGGATAGGGTATGCGTTAGTAGGTATGCGAAGCTTCTTCGTCGTGTCTTGTTGGAATTTGCACTTGGCTCACGTACTCCAGTAAAACACGGTCTCTAAGAAATACAGGTGTTCAGGTTAAGCAGTCTACAACTTCAAATGTTTATGGGGTGATGGACACTTGAGCAGGAATCAACTACAACATGTCCTGTTCAGGCAGGTCTTCAAACATGTTCTGTCGAATGAAAATCAGTCTGTGACGCAGCCTCTCGGTCAAGGTCGAGTTCACCTGAAATGCAGGGAGATCTCGAACTTAAATATTGTTCGTAGTATTTAATCGATTTCCCTGTTGACAACCCTTTGTCCAGTATTTACGTAGGAGGCAAGGAAGACCAAACTAAGACAACTGGTGACGATGACGGAAGTAAAATGACTAACAAAAAGGCGACGTTAGTAAGCCATCGTAACCTTCCTTTACCCGTGAAATATTTCATTCGCCAGGTTGTTAACAGGTTAGTTGACCCGTGCACGAATGCGACCTCCAATTGTTGTGGGTGTGGAAATTACTTAAAATAGTTCAACCGAAAGGTTATTGATGGCTGTATACTCAGTATACTTAAATAGCATTAAACAGGTTGAGAAATTCACGTACTTAGGTAGTGACATTTCATCAACTGAAAATGATGTGAGTGCTCGTATTGGAAAAGCCTGGGCGGCAACTGACAAGCTATCAGTGATCTGGAAATCCCCCCTGCCAAATAAGCTGAAACGTGAATTCTTCCAAGCGACTGCAGTTTCAGTATTGCTGTATGGGAGCAACACATGGACGCTCACAAGACGTCTGGAGAAAAAGTTAGACGGAACGTATACAAAGATGCTAAGGGTAGTTCTTAACACTTCATGGAAGGAACACCCCACAAAGGAGCAGTTATACGGGGACCTACGACCTCTATCTCAGGTCATCAGAGAAAGGAGACTCAGGTTTGCTGGACATGCATGGCGAAGTAAAGGGGAAATCATCAGTGATGTACTTCTATGGACACCAAAGCATGGACATGCAAGGGTAGGCAGACCCTGTAAAACATTTATACAACAACTCTGCGACGATACACACTGCGATGTAGCTGACCTCCCTCGAGCTATGGAGGACCGAGAGAAGTGGAGGGAGATGGTCATGGAAGTCCGAGACACTAACTCGACCAGATGATGATGATGATGATGTATACTCAGTATATAGAGAACAACCACAACAAAAGCAGAAACAACCTCACCCTTTCCCTATACATGCTGTGTATTAAAGTTATCACAATTTCCAAATGCAGGTAGACCTTTTTGAACACAATAAAACAGGAATAGATGGTTATCTATTATTCAAGGGCACCTTTTGTAGTCTCCGGCTCAGTGAATCACGCTATTTTAACAGCCCCCTCCCTGTCCCGGAAGGGGAAGACTCAGGTGTCTAACCCCTGTGGTGTTAAATGGGAAGAAAAGTCAAATGCTACAGATATGTCTCTGCAGATCTGTTCCCAGCCCACCAAGGCTAACCCTAGGGGGAGCGTGCGTACCCTGGGTTGACAGTGCAAAAGGCCTTGGCTTCATCCTCGACAAGAACTTAACCCTCCAAGAACAAGTCACTTCTATGGTCACAAAAGCCTCTCGCAGACTTCATTATCTGAGGCTACTCTCTAAACAAGGAACCAGTGTTGCAGACTTGGTCTTGGTATACCTGGCACTTGTGCGTCCTGTACTAGAGTATGGACATGTCCTACTTGTCGGATGTAGCAAGGAACAGGAGCGTGCGATGGAGCGGGTCCAACGGCGAGCCCTCCGCATCATCAGCCGAGCTGGCAGGCGTGACGTTCCCGAACTACCCACCCTGCAGTCGAGGCGCGAAAAAAAAAAAAAAAAAAAAAAAAAAAAAAA